CGCCTCACTCCCAGGCCCCTGCAGGCTGTGCCTCGGCGTGCCATCCGTCCCCTTGCCAGCAGCCTCCCAACCCCCAACCAGCCAGCGCCCAACCAGCCGGCCAGCCGCGAACCGGCCATCCCCCGCAGCCCAAAAAATCGCCCACAACCCCACCCCCCAAAATCACAAGTACCTGTCAGACCGTGTGAAGGTGCCGTCCTCAAAGGCGCCGTCCGCCACGTCATCCCCCACCTTGTTGAGCGCCACCAGCACCGCCATGCAGCCGTCTGTGGAGGGGTCCAGCACGGGCTGCAGCAGCGCGCTGGACACCCTGCGGGGACGGGCGAAGGGAGGTCTTAGGGCGGGTCGAGGGATGGGCTCTGGGTGGAGGCAGTTGCCGGACGCTGGTTGCTCCGGTGCGTGTCGTCGCGTGTGTCCACTTGTGAACGCCTTCAACCCCATGCGGCGACGGGCCCAGGGTGGGGCTCGAGGGCGCGGAGGCATGGTGAGCTTGCAGGCCGAGGGGCAAGACGCCCAGGTGCGATGGCGTGCTGCGTCAGGGCTGGGCACTCAAACATTGGATGTGCGGTGGCAGCGGGGACCCCCTTAGTGCGCCTCAACGGCCCGGCCACCCCCTCACTCTGGAACACGCACACCTGCAAGCACGCACGTGTGCACACAGACACGCACACGCACGCACGCAATACACACACAAACACATGCACGCGCACCCACATACACACACCCACACACACCTGCTATCCTCTATGGCTGCCAGCAGCTGCCGCAGCACCGGGTCGTCGCGCGGCCCGGGGTCCTCCCGCAGGTCAAGACAGAGCTGCTGCTTGCTGGTGGCACATCGCCCCACGCAGCCGGCGTGCTGCTTGGTCCTGGTGGTTTTTTGGGGGGGACGAGAGAGGCGGTGACAACAGGGAGCTTGGGTAGGTGGGCGCAGCCTTTGCCGTGCTGCATGGGGCAGGCGCAGCCACACCAGGAGCCAGCATCCCTCGACACCCTCCAGCTCGCAGTGGCCCAAGCTGGCACTTGCGCCAGCCTGGCCGCGGCCAGCTTGACCCGGCGGCACTGGCCCCAGCCAGCACCGGCACCGCCCGGCACCGCCAACCCCAGCTGTGCGTGCTCACAGCAGGCCCTGGCACGGTCTCTGCCCGCTCCCATCAAATTGGGACGCATCCCCTCGCCACCACCGCAGCACGGGGAACCCTGCGAGAAGAAGCATCTCCTGACACCTGCCTACCCAAATCCGTTGTACCTGTGGGGCTCAGCCCCAACTTCCTGGATGCCACCACTTCAACTGTGCCACCCCAAGAAAAACATGCATATGCATATGCACACACACACACACACACACACACGCACGCACACACAGTGCACACGCAAGCGCGCATTCATAAACGCGCGCAATAACACTCTCTTCCGCACACACTGGCACACACTCAAACGCACCCGCGCACCTGATCTGCCGCACGTGGCCCGTCACCGGGTGCACGAAGCTGCTCCACAGCACCCCGCGCGCGTGGTCCATCAGGAACACCACCACCCGCTCCGCGTGAACCAGCTCCTGCACCGCCTCGGTAATCGTGCCCAGCGCGCAGTCCAGGGATGACTGAGGAGGGGGCGAGGAGGGGGCCAAACAGCGGCAGCGGCGGCCTTGGTGGGGAGAGGTTGGCGCTGCCGGGCCAGGGACATTTGGGGAACGCAACTGCTCAACGCGTGCTGATGTGTTTCACGCCTGCCAGACGCGCCCGTGCCCGCCTTAGTTCTGCGGGCCGAGGGGCCGCCCGCCGCCCCGCCTGATGTTTCCATGTCTCGCAGGCGGCCTTCGATCCTGCGCCCCCCCCCCCCTCACCGCCTTGGCCAGCTTCTTGAAGCACTGGCTCAGCGCCGCCATGCGCTCCTTCTCGCGCCTGACAAAAAAGGGGCGACGCGCGCAGCCGTCCGTGTTGGGCCCTCTCATCCAAAGCTGCCCTGACTTGCGACCCAAGCTCGGCGCGCGCGAGGGATCGCCGCTAGCCCACGGTGTCGCCGTCTCTCTCCCGTTGCCCTCACCACTCCCTCCCACTCGCTCCCCTCGCGCAAGCACGTTCAGCGGATGCTTGCAACGGCGCCGCCCCACGCCCCCTCACTTGGCCTCCTCATAAAACCGTATCTTCGCGAGGGTGTTGCCGAGGTGGACGCTGAAGAGCTTCAGGTGCTGCTCGTCCACCGCACTGAAGTCCGCGCCGCCGCGCTTGTTCAGGGCCTGGCGGGGGCCGGGACGTGAGAGAGCGGAGGGCGACAGGGGGTTGGAGCTACGGGGAAGGCCGGCTTGGGATGCAGGGCTTGGGGCGGGTGGTGCGGCGACCGGGGAGGGTGCCCCAGGCGGCAGCCCTGCGTTGCCCTCATCGCCACTTCCGTGCCGTTGAGACAAGATCGTGCTCACTCAGATGCCTAAATCACAGGTGTGCGCAAATCGGCGCCCACTTTGCAGGTCAAGGCCTCCAGGCTGCACAAACCCCTGCGGCCCCCACTCCGCGGCGCGCCTGCAGCACCGCAATGGGCTCCGAGTCGCAGTCGTCGTGCTTGACCGCGCAGGCCAGGATGTTGCGCGTCCTGAAGCCCGTCTTGGCGTCGACGCCCGGGTGGAACAGGGGGTGCGAGTAGGCGTCGCGCACGTTGAGCAGGCCGCCTGCGCACAGAGGGGTGCAAGGAGCCGGGCGCACCCGTCCGCCGTCAGGTTTGGCACTGGCGCCGGCGCGGGGGCTTCTGGCGGGGCCGGGAAGGGGGGCGTGCAGCGGCATGCGAGGAGCGCCGGCGAGCGCCAGAGAGCGCCGTGGCGCCGGTCGCGGCTTTGCGGCGCGTGCGCCGGCGTCAGGCCCCCTCCCTGGTCCGGCGAGACGTGCTATCTGCTGCTCGCCAACATCACAACCGGCTGATAGCTTGAAGACTGCCGCACGCTCCCCTAGCTGCGCTGTGCTGCAACCGCCGACACCCTCCCCTCTTGCGCCACCTCCCCAGCTGCCCCAGCCACACAGCACCCGCCCAGCCTCCCTCCCCCCAAAAAGCGCCCGCGACCCCCGCCTCACCCGTGAGTGCCACGCGGCCCGCGATGCCCTCTCCAAAGCGCACTGAGATCACCTCGTCGGCTGCCTCGTCGCCCATGCGGCCCCGCAGCTCCCGCTTGCTGCGCAGGACCAGGAACAGCGTCACTCGCTCACACTCCAGAAGCTCCAGGGCAACCTGGTCGCGGGATTGCATTGAGGGATTTCATTTCATACATGTATGTATACACAGGCACATGTGTATATCAGCATTGTGCTCACACGTGACAATATCAGGGACTGGTAGAGGCCGCAGTGTTCAGGAGGCAGTGCGCGGGCGGGCCCCAGCGGCCGAGTCGCCGGCCTCCTGGCCCGGCGGCGGCCCCCGCCTCCCCTTTGGACGGGAGTGCGGGCAGCGGGCGCGAGACGAAAGCCCCGGTGGGCCGGGCCGCTGCTCCGACGGGGCGGCAGCTGCTGCATGGCTTCCAGGCACCTGGCGGACGCTGCGCATGGCCTCGTGGACGTTGAGCTCGAGTGTCAGGCGGTTGATGAGCTGGATCGCCTGCAGGCGTGGTGTGGAGATGCATATTGAAGGAGGTAACGCATGCGCGAGGCTGCGTGTGGGTTTGGGAGGCAGGCAACCGCGCGCGCGAAAACGGCAAGCATGCGCCCTGCCAAGGTGCCCAGCCACGGCTTCGGCCCAGCCAGTGCTGCCATGTCCAGCAGAGGAGTTGGTGAACACCCACCCGCAGTAGGCTCTTGGCTACATAGTCGCTGTGCAGCTCCAAGTCGTCCGCAAGAGCGGGAACATCCGCAGCGTGTGAAGGAGCGGACGCCGCACGAATTCCAGCGCTCGCTGCGCTGTCTGCCATTGCCAGCGCCTCCATCGTGGGCCGCGCCGCTGCGCGACTCCTACAGCGTCACAGCACCCTGTTGTTGCTGCCTGCTTTGTTCACAGCCCTACTTCACTATCCTGTGCAGCCTGCAGACACGGGTACGGCTGTGATATTGTCGAGGGATCTGCAGGGCCCTCAAAGGCCATTGAAGGCCCAATGACACGAAATTTCTTATGATATCATTCTATGTACCGCAGCGTGTGGCGCGTGCTGAGCGTGGATCACTGTCAAGTCACTGTCAAGTTGTGTGACCTCAAGTTTGATAGCTGGGACTGGCCGAACCACTTTTTCATCGATCAAAGATTTCACGTTGAGGCACATACGTATGTTGTGGTATTGCATCACGTGCAGAGTTACACCGGTGTGAAAAGTCATGAGTACTGCACTGACGTCCGTCTGCACTGCTCCCCTTCGTATTTTTATACATGATATAACAGCAAGAAAGCTGTGTGTGGAAGCGAATGCTTCACTGATGAGACGAATGGTTTGGACAACACACAAATCAAAGTGTTGTTCCCGTCGGTTTGCGCTGGGTGAGGCAAACTAGGATGCTTGTGACAGTACTACTTGGTGTGCGTGTGCCCCAGGTATTTTAATACCGTATCTTGCATAATTGTGCGTCGTCTCAAAGCATGCATGCGTACAATACGTGCCAGCGAGTGAGTTGACGTCACGCTTGGCATCAATGAGCCTAGGCGCGGCCAGCCTGCTTTGTCATGCAGCAGCTTCTACTGTATCACAGCGAACAGTCGAGCCACGTCTCTCTCTTATTTTGTATCTGCAGTCTTTGAGATGTGTTACTCTGGCTTGCCGTCAGTTGGGCATTGCAATGATGCAATCGGTTCAGATTATCACGCTGGAGAGCGTCAAGGCCGTGCATGGTGGCCAGCCAGCCGCTGGTCACCTTGGAGGCCAACTTGTGAGCTCAGCTGCCCTCCAACAGGCTGTACCGCATACAGGCCTTTCCATCCGGCCGCCTCCCCATTCCTATTTTCAAGTCAATATGCGGCTTGATTTTAGCCCGGGTCGGCGACCACATCAGCGGCTGCTCCAAGGGAGTCTAGCACAGCTTTGGTGGTGGTGTCCAAACCTGTGGTCAGCCCTTTGAGAAGCCCGCACATATACCTTAATTAGACGCTGCAATGCGGTCATGCAGTCACACCCGGCATGATGTTGCGCCGGAACACAGGCATGAATGCCTGGGGGACAGCCTTGCGGCACTCATGCGGGCTTACCCTAGACCCATGTTCGTGTGGAAGGTGCGGGCTC